CTATGCCATCACCTGACACCCTGCGCAACATGGAAGACGCATGGATCGACAACAACGCCGAAGGAATTCCATCTGGTTCCAATCCACTCGAGGACGATAACACCGGCATGGCTTCTGTGCTCGATATACTAATCAAGGCCATGATGGTCGGGTTCTTCTTCCCACTGGGAAGTCTAGCATGGCTCATGCGCCAAGAGGGTATCTGGAGTAAGAGATGGCAGATATTCGTTGGCTTCGGCGTTGTCTTTAGTCTTTTTATTGGTTTCATCATGGAGCTGTCAGGAGACCGGCCCTAGTAGAGCCTTGAAACGATCCGGATGGTGCTCAGTGCTTCAACGGCGGTAGCATTTTTGGCTTGGGGGTATGGAGGGTTCAGGCGTTGACTTAAGGCGTTGTCATGCCAAAGCATGGGTTACAGCGGATGGGTGGCGTTATGGCTTTGCACGCATTCTATATACCGCTATTATAGGCAGTAGAAACAGACAGAATACACAACAGCGATTCAAATCCATGCATCTTGTTAATTCAGTCCTGAATCTTTATCGGCTCTAAACAACTGGTGTGAATTCTGGTAGGTTCTGAGATTACCTACAAGCTCAACCGAAGCTTAAGTATGAACAAAAGAAAGCAATGCAATTTCTCGAGAGGTCCATGTCGTATTCTTCGTAGCCTCCAATACAGCTCTATTAATTTAGTTATCACTGTGACCAAGGTTCACATAGGTTTATTCCTAATCCCTCGAGCTCAAGGTATACTACAACTCTTTTTTCCACCCCAACACGCCAGACTCCCAAGCCGGTGAAAGATATAGAAAAAAAACACATTACATGATATTTCCCCCGTTTTATAGATACAAGCTCTGCGCGGCCACAATATCTCTGCGGATCTTGGATAAACTATCCTCAAACTTCTTCGTTAGATCGTCGTTACCCATGACCTTGGCGGCCTGGCCCATCTGTCGAAGCAGCTCTTCCAGACGTCGGAAGAGACGGATCAGAGAGCCTTCGTAGACCTTGGTCATTTTGCTGGGGTGTGTCAGTAACTGTGCTATAGCGGGATGAAAGTACGACATACCAAATCTCAATGAAAGGACGTCCGTGGGCCCATGCGTAGACCGTCTCCATCAGCTGCCACTTGAGCTTCTGGATGTATTCTTCCTCGTTGACCTCAAGCTTGCATTCCTGGCTGACCTTGGCAATGATGCGAGCCTTGGCTTGAATCTCACGATAAGGTTTGCTCAACTCTTCCTTGAGCTGGGTTGTTTCAATCTTCTCATCAAAGATAAAACAGCTCATGACGGCAGCACACATCTCAGGAGTAAGCTCGTTGAAGAATCTGTCAAAGAGCAATTCGGAGAGAAGAAGCTCATGACCTTCGGTGGATGAAATCTCACAGGCGACGCGAGCCTTTAGCTGGACAACTTCGGAATCGTTAATAAAGCCGAGACGTCGCAGCACACGCTTGCGAGACTTGAGTTCGTCCATCTGAGCGATGCTGTACGCCTTGGCGATGGCCTTCTTGGTCTCCTTGACCTTCTCGGTGAGCTTGACCTTGGCATGGTACTGGTCCCACAGAGCAGGAAGAAGGGGCGAGAGGTGAAGAGGGTTGGCCAAAAGTCGGGACTCGAGGACCTCGATCTTGCGAAGAAGCTTCTTGAACGAATCATCGGTGATTTCCATGTTCTCGATGGGGTCCAAAACAGGCAGGCCATCAGGGAAGCGGCGCTTGACCTCCATCAACGACTTTGTGAGCGTCTCCCTTTCTGACTCGGACTGGAGGCCTTCCTTGGGTAAGAAAAGTCGAATTTGACTGATGGCCTTGATGCAAGTTAGAAGACAAGGGACAACCGCAAACTTGACGTCGTCGTTGTCGTCGTCGCCAAAAGGTTTGAGGCCAACGGGCATAGGGGTATCTTCGACAGGCTGAGTAGGGTAGAAATCCGCGCTGGATCGGGAGATGGGAAGAAGCACGTCAATGACATAGGATTCCTGAGGGGCATATTCGGGTTCACCCATCTTTGGCGCGCGGCGAGGAGTTTGGTTGACGATAACTCCCCAGCCAAAGTCTGTTCCGGTTCCAGCAATAGTCTCGTTCTCGTCCTTGGGGTTGTAAATCTGCACCAAGCGACCTGGCTGCAGGTAAGAAATACTGTAATTGGGGTGCTGAATAACGGTGCGCATGTCCTTAGTGTAAGCGCTGAGCTGCTGTCGAATCTGGTAGTAGTCCTTGACCGTGGACTCGTCGGCGATAGTGGTGTTGTCGCGCTCCTGTTGTAACGACATCAACTCTTTCTCCAAAGAGGGGACGCTAGCCGCGTTCTGGAATTGATGGAAGCATCGCTCCAGCATGAATTCGGGTGAAATAGCTTCGATACGAAGAAGGTTGAGAATCATGTTGTAACCGAGGTAAAACGCAGAGTTGAGTCGATCTTGGTGGCCGGTGACAATCTCCTTGGCGGTGTCGGGCTCGAGCTTGTCGTCAATCATCATGATGACAATACCACGAGCATCAAGACCACGACGACCAGCACGTCCAGCCATCTGAATATACTCGGAGGAAGTGAGAGGGCGTCTCTTGACACCATCCCACTTGGTAACTTGGGTGAAGACAACAGTCTTGGCAGGCATGTTGAGACCAATGGAGAAGGTCTCAGTCGCGAAAAGAACCTTGATCAAAGACTCCTGGAAGAGAATCTCGATGGTCTCCTTGAGGATGGGCAGCAGACCAGAGTGATGGACACCGATACCTCGCTCCAAAAGAGGCAACAAGTTGATAATCTGAGGAAGTTCTCGGTCACCCTCTGACAAACTATCAATAGCGCTGTTGAAAACCTTGCGAACCATGGCCTTCTCGGAATCGTCGTTGAAGCTGAGTGATGAAATGTTCATGGCCAGGTTCTCACACTCTCGCTTGCTAAAGTTGAAAACAATAACGGGGTTGAACTTCCTCTTGATGGTCATTCGAATAATCTTGGAGATATCCGAGCCACTGTCAGCGCCACCCTTGTTGGTCTTTTTGTTCTTGCCCTTTCCTTTCTGGCGAGCCATGGGGTCATTGGGGTCAGCGCCCTTCTTTTCCTCAACCTCTTGCATGACTTTGTTGAAATTCTGCTCGTTGAAGTTGCTCTTCTCATCAACGATGAGACGGGCGCCAGTGCCGCCGCAGGGGAAGAAGTAGTTCTGTAGGGGAGTAGGTCGGAAATCGGTATACACAACGTGACAAGCTTGATGATGGATCTTGGCAATCCATTCGGCGAACTGGAAAGCATTGGGGATAGTGGCAGAGAGGAAGACGTATCGGACCTTGTCCGGAAGCATGATGATGGTCTCCTCCCAAACGACACCTCTTATCTTGTCTCTCATGTAATGAATCTCATCAAACACAACCCAGGCGACTTCTCGCATAATCTCAGAACCGCGATACAACATAGATCGCAAAATCTCAGTCGTCATGACAAGACAACTTGCCGTAGGGTTGATAGTAACATCACCAGTCATGAGACCAACATCTCCAAAGATGGCCTCGAAATCTCGGTACTTTTGGTTACTTAAGGCCTTGATGGGACTTGTGTAGATGACTCTCTGGTTGCGCTTCAAACACTGCGCGACAGCATACTCAGCTACAACAGTCTTTCCGGCAGAAGTGTGCGCGGAAACAAGAACACTCTCGTCTCTCTCAATAGATGCCACGGAAAGACTCTGGAAAGGATCGAGCTTGAAGTTCCATGTCCGCGCGGGTTGCTCGGGGGCCTTGTGCTCGGAAAGGGGGACGTATTCGTAGTCTAGGTCCGGAGGCAGGGCAACCTGATGCTGAATGTTGTGTGACAAGACAAGCGATGAATCCTGCTCTGTGAAAGTAGCTGCGCCAGCAACTTCTCTCGACTCGGCCGTCTGGAAATTATCTGCCATGACAGGACCAACACCGTCCTCCTTCTTCCTTCGCTTGGAATCCTGCTGACTGGCGCTCTCCGAAGACTCCTCATCGTCAGAAGAATCTCCTCCGTCTTTTGAAGACTCGGTCTTGGCGTCCATGTCAACGTCCTCAGTTTTCACAGCATCACCATTTATCGCGTTTGCCTTTCTCTTTTTGGTGTCACCCTTGCGATTCGGCACGTTCTCATCTTCGCTCGCGCTCGGGGCGTCCACCTTGCCCTCGAACACATCAAACATCTCATCCATGCTGGGCGGTGTTTTACCGCGATCGGCTTCCGATCGCTAGCTGCAGTAAAAAAGTGATCGAGATCGAGTGGCTGATTCGAGTCGCGTTCTGGTCCTTCGAGGGAAAATTTGGTATGTGAGAATTGAGAATTGTTGCCTTTTCGTGTACGCAAGGCAGGCAGAAAAGCTCTTCGAAAAAAATAGGTGTGAGCTTGTCGTCCTGTACAACACGAGCGAGGAATCGATCGATCGTCCCAATTCGTGGTACACGGGCCTAGGCGATTAAAAAAAGTTGGTTGATGGGAAGTGGGTTGCTTGCGGCAGAAAAAAAATCCCCCCCTGGACAAGCTGAGGGCGGTGAATGTCTACAGCGACCGGGAATAGGTAAGGTACCTAGTAGGTTAAGCCGACAGAAACTAAGCTAAATCCGTTTGTTCAAGTATTAAATATGGACAGTTTATCAAGATATTATATCATCTGAGTGGTCATTATAAATTATCTTAAAGGCGTACTTACAGTTAAGAATACTTTTTACCTGCCCAGTCCGGTGCGGTTAGAGCCGACGTCACTCTCCAAACGTACGATCCAATCACAGCCGATTGGAGATTCCATGTCAGCAAAGTACAAAGTATCTCGACACGTGACCTACTAGCGTTTTGCTCTCCAAACCTCAGACCACCATCTCTGACCTCGGATGCTATCATCACTGACACATCCCCAAGCTTCCATCTCGCACTCTCCACTCCTCAACGCCAAGGTACGTCGACCTTCGAGCCATTGACCAGCTCATAATTCCTCTCCCAACCATCACGAGCCGAATTGACCCTTTACTCGCTCCCGCAGATGCTCTCCCGCGCCGCCGCCCGTACCACGACCTCTCTGGTCACCAAGCGAGGTTTCCAGACCACCCGCGCCCGCATGTCCTCGCCCTACCACTACCCTGAGGGCGCCTACAGCAACATCCCCTTCAACCCCCGAAGCAAGTGGTTCGGCCTTGGATACTGGACCTTCATGGCCACCGGCTTCTTCGCTCCCTTCGGCATTGCTGGTGCGTGGTTTCCGTCCCGATGTTCTCCGACTCACGATGCTAACGAGCTGCGCAGTCTACCAGACCTACAAGCCCCAGTAAATTACTCGCCTGCGGATTGGATTTGCTGTTTGGTGGAAAGACTGGGAAGCCTCGAGGTGGAATGTGGTGTAAATATCCGAAATAGACATCAGTCATTCTCGACTCTTGATTCGAAATTTCATTTGTTCGGCCATCAAAGATATCGAACCATGTGTGAACTTACGATTGTATTAACCGCCAGCTATACAATTCTCAGCCAACTGGATCCTTATATACAGAACTCTAGAGCCCCAGGGTATTATTCTAAGTTAAAGTACATGGTAGTACAAAATCTACTGTTACATCATAATCTCGTTCCATCTTTTTTATATCTTCGATACGACGGGCCTTCCCATTGTCCCGTCGACGACTTCATATCTGCGCCGTCAAGAACGGTCTGAAGTATGGACTCGATGAACGGCTGTCGGTCCAGCGGAATGTCCCAGCGCTTCTCCATCTCATCATACACTTCGATAACAGTCTCATTGGAGCTGCACTTCTTCGCAGCTCGCAAGGCCCAAATGACCAACCATCTGTCAATGGTAAACCCTCTTATGCTTTCATCTCGTGCTTGGTACATTGCCTTCAACACTCCTTCTAGTCGCTGCTCACTCCACTCAGAGCCAGTAAAGCCACCATGGGAGTAGAATCCTTTGAATAAAGACAAGAAGATCGTCGCGTGAATGGGAATCCTGAGGAACTTCATCTCATCAAGAAATTGTGCCACCTTGGCCAAGTCTCCAACTTTGACCGAGTAGTGCTCGACGAAAAGTTTGTATGTGTGAAGGTTTGGCGAGAGTTGCATTTGCTTCTGTAACGGCTGTTGAAGCTCGGGATGCTTCTTACCAATTCTCGTAAACATCATCAACACCTTGGTAATGACCCGACCCATCCCGTAGTCTCTATCCGGGATATTGGGCGCCATTTCGTGACCGGACTTCATCCTCTCATATGTCAACTCAGCCGCTGACTCCTCGCCACATCGCAACAGGCCAGATATCACACAATTAAGCACAACGGTATCAATCATTTCACTGGCCTCAACCATGTCTTTGTAGGCAGCCCGGATCCCATTTGAGTCCATCTTGAGTCCGAAATAGTGTATCAGACTGACATGGTGGTATCGGTTGTACTGATAACCTCGGCTTTCCATCTCGTTGTAAATCATGTCCGCAAGAGCAAAATTTCCGGCTTTTGAGGCAGCATCGAAAAGAATGTTGAACGTAACTTCGTTTCCTTTGACATTGGGTGATCGCTCCATCTCTTGCCACAACCGCAGAGCAGTATCCATCTCGGTCGTCGTTACGCGAGCTGTATACTTTGTTGCAAAAGCCAAGGCATAGTTCCAATGCGTCCGTCGCAGCGTCAATCCTGCGGTTTTGACATCAGCGATCAGCGCAAAGTAACGCAACATCGACTCTGAGTTTCGCTTTGGGGGTAAGCCCATAATCTTCAATAGCCTGTTCCGCCATGGCCATGTGAGATACAACATCCTTGGTTCGGGAAGCTGAAGGTACAGGTCGTATATAGGATCGAGGGTTGCTCGGTATGGGTGACGGAGCTTGTACGATATGGCCTGGCATAATTTTGCGATCACTTTTTTCGTCCCGTCATCGGCCTTGAAGGTTTCATCCGCCGTTGGATATTCAGTATCTCTTTTGTTTTCCGAAACTTGCACTTTCTGGCCGTCCGCATGAGCATAGCCCCTTCGGTATGGATCCCGATAGTACTCCAAGTGCTCCTCAACAGTTCCCGCATCTTCCTGTGGCACGAGAGCCATAAGGTGTCGAGGGTCGTGACCATATTGAGTATGGAATCTTTGGCTTATCGGAGGTATCGGTGCGGCGGCAGCAGAAGCGGTGCTATAATTGTTCAGAATATGTCGGGAGCGACGGCAAGGCAAGGCACGTCGAGCCTCGGTAGCGGGCGAAAAGGTCGAGAGAAGCCATAACGAGCTCTTGGAACAAGAGGACGGGGATCTCGAGCTCAATCTTCTCCTCTGTGTCTCTTTTCCAGCCTCTCTCACAGTGCAGAGACTCCTCCTTGTGGTAGTAACCCCAAAACTGGCCGACGGTCGGTTCGAAAGCACCGCACAGAGGGAGCCGTCTAATCGACTAGAGACTTTCATGAGCTCCTCCTCATGATGCTGCGACTTCTGATTCGTAGCCGGAGCGATTTTTTGCCTCGAGCTGTAGATTTAACAGGGAAATGGCGCTGAGAAAGAAATCGGATCGGCAATCTCTCTCAGGAAGAGCTAATGCCAGCGGAAGTTGAGACGGGAGGCTTGTTCTTGTAAGTGGGACCTTTTTCGAGATGGTTTTTTGCTGCACTGTCATTCGCGCTGAGCTATGGGAGGTACCCAGATGAGGGGTGAAAATAAAAACCGCGCTGCATCATAAAATGTAAGAGATAAGGCGAAGAAAGGTATGGGACTTCTGGGGTGTGCAAAATAAACAATCAATCCCAAATAGGACCACATGGTTTCTTACTATAGATTAGCGCAAATAATATTAAATATTCTGTCTAGAAAGGAATATTTGAGTATTAACTTACAATTCCATCCTGATAGTGTCCGACCTTTATTGTCAACATCCTACCCCGGCGTTAAGATTTACCGATGCATCTCCAAAATTTCCACTCACCACCACGACATTGCGGCTCAAGCCAGGTCCCGCCTGACATTACTCCCGATCAGAGCGTCAATTCATACCGTAAGGCCGCCGCTATTTATACCACCATACTCAATTGTAGCTCTACTTACACCGCCGCAGAATAGACCATGGGAGGCAGACAGATCCGGCCCGCAAGGGTCCTACAAACAGTCACCGAAGAGCTCAACCACACCATCCTCGGCGGCAGATCCATCCCTACGCCGCCATGGTACAACATCATGCAATCCGTTCCTCCGGCCGAGACACTGGTTCGAAACGTCACCCCCCGTCTAACGGGGCCGAAATCCAAAGCGAAAAAGCCAAGGAATCTCTATCGACCTCAACAGATAAAGTATATTGAGGATGGCCTGCGAACAACGTTCTATCAAGATCATCCTTGGGAGTTGGCGAGGCCTCGTGTTATTCTTGAGTCGGACGGAAAGGATTACCAGCACTGCGATTGGAGCAAGGGTTTGAGACAGCCTAATATTCCCTTGACGGGTGAATGGCAAGTTTCTCTGGATCCGTGGGCTGATGGAATAAAGCTAACATTCTATAGTGTTGTTCAACGGCAATTATGGTTGATGGAGAAAGAGAAGCTCTCAGTGAAAAGGGCATACGATATCACGCGCCGCGAATTCTACCGTCTACGTCAAGAGGAAGAGATCGAGAAACGAGTGGCCCTCGAGGAAGCCAAGCACGTGGGCGCTTACTTTGGCAAGTCCCGCATTGATGTTTCGCACCATCTCGAGGACCGAGAGTTCGAGAACTGGAAGATCTGGGCTGGAAAGGAGACGGAGCGTCAAGAGGCGAGTCGCAACTCGGAGATCGAGGACTTTGGTCTTGAGGAGGTGGAGGAGGACATCGCAGATGATGCGGGGCCAGAGGAGAAGGCCGAGGCTGTTGAGGGCAAGAAATCACCTTGATAGCATTATATCAGGGAGGGCGGATGATAACTGCCATGTACACAAACCATGTAACCTTTATTGTCTATGTATCAAAAAGCAGAAACGCATATTCCAAGAGATTCTTGGATTGGGATCTCATCCCATCAACTTATCATCTGTCGATGAAACATCCGGTCGTCTGGCGTTGAAGACCATCTCACCACAGTTTCTAAGTCCATACTTTTCCGCCACTTCTTGGTGCTGTACCAAAACGTCAGCGATGCCAGTGTAGTAGAAGAGTTTGCCCGTGAGGCTCAGGGTGCTGATCCGTGCCCAAGACTCGATGTAGATGAAGTGCATCGAATTCTCAGGTATTTTGCCCAGGAGCTTGAGAATGTGCACTGCCAGGCCGACAAAGAAGCCAGTCGCGGGTCCGTTGGAGTAGATGCAGGTAGGGTATGCCAGCTCGGCACCATCGATCTTGGGTGGCGGAGTTAACAAGGCCGGGAAGATGCTGACCATGCTGAGGAAGGCCGTGAAAGGGGTGGTCAGGAGTGATTGGTGAACGCGGCGCGCACGAGTGACGGTGAAAACGTCGTATGCTCCTGGGTTGGTGCCCTGAGAAGCACACAGTTTCCTCAGATCTGCTTCGTAATCTTCAAGATGATCCTCCGACATGGTATCGCCAGAAGTAATCAGATATCGTCGGTGGAAACCATCAAAGTTGCAGAAGCCATCATCCATCATCCTAGAAAAACGTTATTATAGCTTGAAATTGTATTTAGTAGGGCTTATTGTTACATGAGCATTTCCTTGCTGTGTCCTCCAGAGCCCATGACAAGTAGCCCGTAGTCGAACGGAGTGCGACGTTGGTTAAGAGAAGACAGTTCTCTGCTCACTGTCCTGCGGCGACGCCTGACAAGTCGGATATGAAGAGCCTTGGCTATGTCAGTATTGGAGTGTATGGTTTGGTTTCGGTTGTGGGATTTGGCTTACAGAGAATGCAATGAGAAGGGTAACGATGTAGATGGCCATGGCCGAGAGAAAGGCTACGAGCGGTCGGGGTGAGGCAAGTGCGCCTATTGCAAGCCCTACGCCTGCGGCGGCGATGATCATCACCATGTTTGCGTTGAGCACTCTTGATGGTAGATTGATGCCCTCGTGTTGTGAAGTGAGCGAGCGAGTGAGGTTGATCTTGACAGGTGGGCCTTTTAGGTATTTTCGCGCCCCGAGTCCAAACTCATATAGGCATTGGGTCAAGATGGCAAAACCAAGTCTAAAAAATAAAAGAGCTGAAGAGCATCATTTAAATGAATGGAGACTTTGTTTTCATTTTTTTATCTGTCGTACCAGTGTTAGTTCACTTGCACCTTTGGACGTAACGAAGATGACAGTGGAAGATAGTGGTGCCAGCCACTGGCAGCTAAAACTCATTCAACCATCCATTTGATGGAACAGACTGAAGTGCGTGCGTATTTGCCAAAACGCATCGGGCACACCAATCACAATTAACCATATTAAGTCCCATATGAATCATGTAAGCTCTTTCTTGACCTCAGAATAAAATCTTGAACCGTCACCGCTACAAAGACCGGGCACATGATGTTGCTGAACTGACTTATACCAATGAATTGAACTACCCTGGATCTACCATCAAGTTTCGATCTCGCTGAACTACATCCCTGCGTCGTTGTACAAGCCAGTGTATTTCCAGAGCACATCTTTGCCAGGTTGACTGATAACTGCTGCTTTTAAAAAGAAGAAGAAGAAAAGGAAAAAACTCCTGCTCAGTAACCCTCAAGTCCTGACGTGCACCTCACATTACAACGTTTCCTTCAACACAAGCTTTATTCAGCAATCAACAAGCAAGAGTCCTACTGTCACTTGACAGTCGAGCCACATCCCAGTACTCAGACACTTCAGAAGAAACGACGCTTCTTCTTGGGGATAACCTCATCCTCAGGCACTTGCCCTCCAACAAGTCTTCGCATCGCCTCTCTTCCAGAGTCATCGATAACCTCCTTCATCCCTTCACCAGTCGCAGCCGAGCATTCAATGTATTTGTGTGCTCCAATTCGGGTGGCCTGCCAGTTTGCCTAGAATAAAATCAGAACATGATTCATGTTATCCAATGGAGTTGAGGAATCTACCTCTGATGAGCAGATGCAGCAAGTCGGGTACGCCAATAGTCCAGACGACGAGAATGCAGAACCAGTTTGATGATCTTCCAAAAAGCACTGGTCGCGGAGATCCTTCTTTAGACCAACGAGGTACAGCAATGGCGCAAAACTCGCAGATTTGGTGAAGCCTTGGTCCGAAGCATGATGCCACTACTCAATTAGCCTTACTTATTTCGTGAGCAGTGAAATGTTGAGCTTACCCATTGGATGATTGTGTACATGGATATTTTATCTGAGATATCGAAACAGAGAAACACGGCGTCCCATTCAATGTAGGTCAACTTTTCGACGACGTTCAGGTCTGGTACGCCAGAGGTGTCCTACATCTCCATGCGCACAGGCTGGTTGTGGTACATTCGTTCGTTGACGTAGGTCTCATACAGAGGACGAGAAAAGGCGTTTGACTGTTAAAAGTTCAGCATGAACTCACTTGCGTGAATGGCAGACTCACATCAGGAAAGTATCCATAGCGAGATCGACTGTCCAATGTTAGCAGATACGTCAACACAAGCTTTGGAAACTCACAATAGCAAAGACGTCTGACCAGCGGCCTTGCTCCCGACAAACAAAAAGTTCAAACGGACAGGATCCCTCGGAATCTCCTCCGGCTCCTTTCTCTTCCTCTTGCGAGTAAATAAGCTCAACAAACTCCTTCGCTTCCCCTCCGCACGTCTCGGCATCAAGCTTGAAGCAGGCCGAGTAGAAGAAGGCGTAGAACTACGTCCGAACATTGGCGTAGCAGCGCGGAAGAAGCCCAGGCGCGTAGAAGGTCTAGCCTCAGGAGGAGAAACATCACGAAAAGTCTAGTGATACATGGTTAGTAGAGCAGAGAGGAGGGTTGTCAGGGGGTTTATACGAGACGCGTAGGGGGACGTTCGTCGAAGTGGTCTCCTTCGAAGGGATCGTCGCGATCCATACGGCTTGGAACTCGTTGACGCCATGAGTCGATGCGTTCTTCGGGCATCATGTTGAGGAGTGACATTGGAATGAGGAGGAACGGAGATGAGTCGGTTTGGTTGTCTAGAAGGCAGAGTTACAACACTTGGAAAAAGGTGAGTGTGAAGGTGAAGAGAAAGAAACGCAATAAAGACGCTGAATGAATTAATGAAGAGGTGCGTTGATAAGAAGTGAATTATACCGATCGCAAGTGAGGTGAAAGTGGTGATGCATGCAGCCTTAGCTTGCACTGGCAGACAGCTGTCAACACTTCACTTCACTCCACTCCACGCCACACCACAGACCAGAATCTCTCAGCTAAGCCAGTAAATCATCCATATCTCATTACTTCAGTGCAATGCCTCAGCATCTACTCAAAAAACTCCGCCGCATTAGCGATATAAGCCCTCCTCAACCTCTCCTTATCAACCCCCAGCAAATCCCCCGGAAACCACTCCTCCAACCGTCCCCCTGGCCTCCCAACACCTTCCCCCAACTTCTCCTCCTCCTTACCAAGCACCATAACCGCCAATGCCGTTCCACAAAGCCAGGCATACACCATCCCCTCGCCACAGAACCCAGCGGCCATCCACTCCCCTGACCCTTTCGACCCAGGGGCTCGTCCAACAAGGGGCATCAAATCACCCGTGAAGCCAATGATGCCAGTCCAGGCTTTTATGAGACTGCTCCCGGGGCCCCAGTTTGGTTCATAGACGGAAGGCATCACGCCGCGGATGTGCATTAGGGGAAGGGCGTGGGTTTTGCTATCGTCCCAGATTCCAACTTGATCGAGGCCGTCTTCCTTGCTGCGGAAGAAACCACCTCCTATCATTAGATCACCGGGAGTGCCGTCTGGTCGATCTGGACGTTGGGTGATGTAGTCAAAGCCTGGATTGTAGATCACAGACCATGAGCGGTTTCCTTGGGTTGGGGGGAATGAAGATCCTGGTCGTTGGGCGCTCATGTGTGCGATGGCACCGACGACACAGCCCCTTACTGGAGGGAGGAGTTGCCCGGCATGAGCATTTGTTGTGTGGATTACATGCTTCGCCTTGATGACTCCACGAGGTGTCGTAACTGTATAAGAGCCATCCGAGTTATGAGATACCTTCTCCACAGGTGTATGAGTGTTGATACTCAACCCCGGGAACCGCTCGAGTAAATCGTTCCACACACTCGTGACAAGACGATATGGCCAGAGTGCACCCGCCGTGTAAGTCACAGCTCCCACAACAAGCTCATTCACCCCAAACTGTCCTCATTAGTACTTCACTCATAGCCTTCATTCGCCTAGAACTCACCTCCTTTCTCGCCTCCTCCGCCTCCCAAACCCGATGCCTCTCCTCCGGCATCCACTCCCTAACATCCTCAACCTGCTTCTTCGCCTTTTCAAAATCCTCCCTCTCAACAAAGACATCCACCGTCTCAACCTCTCTAACCTCAGCCACCTCGACCCCCCTCCCCAGCTGCTTCATCATCTCCAAATGCCTTCTCTTAAACCTCACTATCCTCCTCGCGTTCTCCGGTCCCAACTTCGACTTGAACATGGCGAATTCATCATATGGTGCACTTTTAATATGCCCGCCATTTCTACCCGTTGCACCGCTGCATAGCTGTCTTGCTTCACAGACTACAACTCTTAGACTAGAGTTGGACAGTTCTAGCAGAGATTTCGTCACGGCTGCGCCTGTGATGCCGCTGCCGATGACGACAATGTCTACTTCGGAGGGAAGCTTGTCATCTTGGATGTCGCATAGTGCTGGGAATGGCGGGTCGTCGAGCCAGTATGACTTTGTGGGCTTTGGCACGGGAAACCCTGGCTCTGAGGACGCGCGTTCAAGAAGAGATGAGAATTGCTTGTGAAGCGTCAGAACCGTCCTCAGGCCAGCTGATATGGCCGATGCCGTTGATTTAAGCGTCGATATAATGGAACCCATGTTTGCTGGTGAGATTAACGGTCAGATGAATATGCTGAATTACTATGGAGAGAATATATAGCTGTCAAAGGAACAATCGGCAGCAGGTATGTAGCGCTTTACGATGCATCCAACCACAAATAGTAGGTTGGGCAGGGTTGTTGTTAGCTAACAGTTATCTCGCTGGAACCAGTTGCGACGCTAACCTAGTCTCACAGATATCGTGCTCACTTATCCGTAGATACGAGACCAAACCATCAGACCTCAGTAGGTAACTATACGGATTATGAACCAACGACCTTTTAGCTTGCATTTTCTCTAACGTCTAAGAGCTACCTTGCCGAAACCACCAGGATGCCCGTTTCACTGCCGTCAAGGTACAAGCAGATCGCCAAACAAAAAACACCGTCATCATTCTGGTTTTCGTTCCCCAACCCCAACACCAACGAAACTACACGTCAAGAAATCCAAAAACAAGCACTTCCTGCAGCGAAGCCAGAGCCGCTGCCATTCCTTCCCTCTCGACCCATCACTCACTTCCAGCCCAAGTGAAACAGGGAGTCGATGATAAAAACGGGCTTTTCAAACTCCAGCTCCAGCCCCCCTTTCCTGTTTGCTGTTGCGCCACAACCGATGCAGGGTATGTTTTGAGTTGAATTCAACATGTCATAAGACATAAGCCCTGTTCCTTCTACCCTTTGTCTCCCTTCTGGGTTTTGTTCCAGTTCCATACCGCCATGGTGATAATTCCTGTGAACTCCAGGGTCCCTCCGCAGGAGAGAAGTTGGCCATGAAACAGAAAAGTGCCAAGAAAAACAAACCAAACTCCAGCGAAACCAAAAATCCATTTGTAAAACCGTCCAAATTGAAATGAAGTAATGGGTATCAGACACTTCGTCTCAAACGTACACCACCCCACCGTCCTTATCTAAGGTCATCTAAAGGCTGACCATCCCGTTCTCGGCATCAAGATCTCCGGCATAGTCCGTGTGATGCGAGAATCTACCATAAGGATCAAGCCCCAGCTCCTGTCTCACGTCCCTTTGAATCTGGAGAAAATATCTCCTCAGACTACGCAAGCCCTTGAGAAATCCACCGTCAGGTTGATCAGGGTGTTGCGGAGGGCACGGCTTGTCGTCAATCTTATCAAAAGGAGTGACACTGTTGGCGAAATCCGCAATCTTGAAATCGATCTCCCTCTTGTTCTTCGTCTTCCTTCGCGAGGTCTCCTCTGTATCAGTTGCACAGTCAGTGGTAGACTCGTACATCGTTTCGTTGTCCGCATCCTCGGACGTATCGCCGTCGTAAAACATGAGCAAGCTCGCGGCGTAAAAACGATACCCGTTCAACTTGCTCACAATTTGTTCGAGTTGCCCAAGTTTCTTGAGCACAACTGGAATATGTCGCAGAATACTATGCAGATCAACACCGTTGTATAGAAACTTTTGCAATGCGCCTTGAAACTCGTCTCCAGCTTTCAGCTTGCGGCCGTAGTATTTATCCTGAAAATCGTATGTTTCCTTCGCAGCGTTCCACACTTGCAGTCCGCAAATTCGAACGCCCAACTCAGCTGATGTTGTGTTTCGACACTTTTCAGTTTGCGACTTTTGCTTCTTTGGGCTAGCCTCCACGCCATATTGTCGAGTTCCCATCTTCAGATCCATCATACAAGGTCTTTTCATCCCTGATGTAAGGTCCTCTAGGAGCAAGAAGTATTCGACTCGATCCTTTTGGGTCTTTGCCTCTTTCGGGTTGACTGGCCTAGGAATCTTGGTGAACTCATGGGCAGTCTCTTCCATGGCCGGGGTGGGCTCAGTCGATTCGATGGCAAACTCGTCTTCAGGACGCAGATGCTCTAGGTACTGTGAGTGATGGTGGGCACCATTTGTGTCAGGATGATGGTGTCCATTCGTAGAATGTGTCTTTGAGTGTCGCTTGGGCTTATCTTCGTTGTCTCCCTTATACCCAGCATCATCAGCCTCCTCAAAGTACTTCAAGTCTCCCCTGGGTTCTCTAACATCCTCAGGTTTCCGTCGAAGACCGCCAGCAGAATACCTGCGCTTCTTCTTCGCTGTAAGAGGGTTTTCCTTCAGAGTTTCCGGCTCAGGAGCGCTTGTTCCAGTCACATCTTTAACTTCTTCGGGAGCCTGCTCAGGCTCAGACTGAACATATTCATCCATGCCAGGCCCGAGATCACTGTGTGAGTAGTGATGTGCAATCTTTCGTTCCTGAGGATAGCCGTTTGCTTCATCGTGAACGTCGATGAACGGGGAGTTACTTTTGATCAGAGCGGGGTCAGAATTCGTGGATCGCAGGAGGCGTTGCAAAGTAGGACGTGGAATTGATCGTTGGTGTGGTCGGCGATGTCGATGAATCTTGACAGGTTCCTTCAGGAATGCGTCGTTGAAAACCTCGTTTCTCAACCTCTTGTTAACCATGGTTGCGCCCCAACTGTTGGGTCGCTCATCTAGAGGCGGTCTGCTCGATGTTCCAGAAGATGGCACGGAGGGATTTGATACAGTGGAAGTTGAGATACTTTGTCGTCGGTATTCTCTTGGCAAAGGCATCGGTTGGAGAAGGTTTCGGGGGAGAATGTGCCTGTTGTCGTCGAAAGTTACCGTCGGAACAGGAATGTTGCTATTGGCGAGAGACTGGCTAATAACTCGGCCTGTCGGTTTCTCGACTGTGATGGCGTCCTGGCCCTCGTTCTGTTCCAGTTCGTTTCTACTAGACTCAAGCTTTTCCTGTGCCTTCTTGCGCTCGGCTGCTGCCACCTCGTCTTTCTTGGACGTGCTCTTTCGGCGAGCTTGTTTCTGGAAGGTGACATTCAATACACCGATATAGCTGTCAAAGTTAGCACTTCAGCACGATCTCAATAATACAGACGCAGAGGGTCGCAAAACACGATTCGATCAGACGTACCGAGGAAGGAAAGGCAACAGATCACGGTGGTATCTCTCTATAGTCTCGTAAAACTCATTTTCCCTATTGTTGAGTTGCTTACAGACAGCCCTTCGAGAGAATCTCCAGAGGGTGGTGTGTCCACCAACTTGATGTTTATACGGAATGAGCTCGATCGCCTCCAGAGGCTCTTGAGGGTCATGCTGATGATCATGGACATGGTCTTCATACTGGCTCACGATTTGCGGTTGTTTATGAGAGTCAGTTGTCACTGTGATTTCCTCCTCAATAACGGCACCCTCTTCACCTTGTTGAGGGATGAGGTCACCGCGTTTCAAGGTAAGCTTCTCATGAGAAGGGTGACGGGAAATTCCATAAGGAGGTTCATCCTTCTCATGGATGGCTTCTGACTCTGGCTCATCAGCCTTCACAAGCCACGGGCGCTGATTACTTTGCGATAGAGACCGCACGCGGATACTACGGGCCGCAATGCGGTCCTGCGGTTCACTTACACAAGGATCTTGGAGCTCTTGGTGGGGCAAAAAGACGGCAGATGAGATCTTTTCTTCCCCAGATTCTTCGGCTTCTCCATCATCGCGAGATCCGACATCAGTATGAGCACTGCCCGCCGAGTCCCGTCTGGACTCCACAATTTCGGCTTCACGGGCGGTCTCGGTATTGGCGACCGGGATCGGCCCCACAACTTTGGCCGACTCCACCTGTTCGTTTCCATCTTTGGCCTGGGAGACTGGCTGCTGCACTTGCAACGGCGCCTTGTCTTCAGATTTGACGGAGCCATTGACTGGAATGGAAAAATAATCCTCGCTAGGAGATGTGCTTAGAACAGGCTGTTCATCGAGCGAATCTGATGTGAAAAAAGAACCTTTTCGGTCTTCCTGGCGAGTGCGAACGGCCGTCGGCTCTTTGTCAGAGGTTGTCGGTTGGGAAGCTTCACGCAAGGCATGTTGATGACCCTCCTCAAGAGGTGCCAATTTCTCTTTCGCCGTTTGTTTGGTATCCTTGCGACGTGGCTTATCCTCTGGTGGCAGACCTTCTTTGAAGAATCGTAGACTGTAACTAGACTTGCGGCTACGAGCATTATGCTCCAGGCCAGCCATTGCCTCAGTCACGGACTTCTCAACTAAGCCATCCTCTTCTTGTCCTTCCGCAGAACCAATGGACCAAATCTTTTCAGTTTTTTCCGTGCCAGTGCCACTCCAGTGAGGCGGCATCTTTGCCCATTGTACCGGCCTCTGCTGAACGGGTTTCGCATCCTCCTTTCGCGTCACCATGGGTGGTGTCTTGGTTCCTGAGCGAGTATCGAGAGGGACGGGTCGGTCAATAAGGGCTGCTGTGTAGCTTGTGGTTTGGGGTTGGTAATAGTCAACAGATTGTCTATCGAGATCCAGAGATGTCGATGCCTTGCCACGGGGCATGTCAATCGGTTCACGATGATCAAGAGCACCTCGAAGTGTAGTAGCAAGAGTTGAATGGCTAAAAGTCGATGGGACGCTCGCCGCCTCCCGAGGGACGAGCGACGTCATCGTTGTAACAGTAGTAGACGCTCCCATATTGATAGATTCGGAAGCGGCTCTAGCTAACGGCCTAGGAGCGGTGCGCTGAGCTGGAACATTGTGATAAGAAGATTCGAAGGGGTTTGAGGCGCTATCGCGATCGTATTGCGAAGCGAGGTTCGCTGGTGCGGTTGGTGGCCCTGTCAATGAGTAAAGACTCGAGTGCGCAGTGGGAGTAGTTGGAGTCGAGATAGTCGCAGAGGAAGGGATGGTCTTGTCTAGGTTAGACTGTCGAGCGGCAGTAGATGTATTTGTAAGAGTTGGGGGAGATGGCGAAGTTATAGGAGGAGTAGATGTAGGAGAGAAGGATTTGGGAGATTTGACATTGGTGATACCTCTCGCGGAAGCCAAGGCTTGGGTCAGCAGGGAAGGGCCGGTCTGCCTCGGTATGGGACCGGGGCCACGGGCCTTCTTATTACTGGAAGTTGAGGCAGAGGGAGGGTCAAGAGCAACGCCGATGGGGAGGGTATCGGCTTGGTCTGGAGTGTCCCTGGCATTGGCATCACCACGGGGCACGTAATCAGAATCAGGAACAGAATCAGGCAC